CACAAGTTTGTTTTCTATGTCTGTGAGTCTGTTTCTATTTTGTAAACAAGTTCATTTGTCTCATTTTTTTAGATTTCACATATAAGTGATATCATATGGTACTGTTCTTTCTCTTTCTTACTTCACTTAGAATGACAGTCTCTAGATCCATCCATATTGCTGCAAATGGCATTATTTAATTCTTTTTATGGCTGAGTAGTATTCCATTGTATAAATATACCACAACTTCTTCATCCAGTCATCTACTGATGAACCTTTACATTGCTTCCATGTCTTGGCTATTGAATATAGTACTACTATGAACATTGGGGTCCATATATCTTTTTAAATTAGAGTTCCCTCCAGACATATGCCTAGGACTGGGATTGCTGGGTCATATGGTAAGCCTAAATTTAGTTTTTTGAGGAATCTCCATACTGTTTTCCATAATGGCTGCACCAAACTACATTCCCACCAGCAGTGTAAGAGGGTTCCCTTTTCTTCATACCCTCTCCAGCATTTATTGTCTGTGGACTTCTGAGTGATGGCCATTTTGACTGGTGTGAAGTGATACCTCATTGTAGTTTTCATTTGCATTTCTCTAATAGTTAGCAATACTGAACATTTTTTTAATGTGCCTATTGGCCATTTGTATGTCTTCATTGGAGAAATGTTTGTTTAGGTCTTCTGACCATTTTTTGACAGGGTTGTTTATTTTTTGTTATTGAGTTGTATGAACTGCTTATATACTCTGGAAATTAGGCCCTGTCAGTTGCATCATTTGCAAATATTTTCTCCCATTCCATAGGTTGTCTTTTCACTTTGTTATAGTTTCCTTTGCTGCTGAAAAGCTTATAAGTTTAATTAGGTCCCATTTGTCAATTTTTGCTTTTATTTCTATTGCCTTGGTAGACTGCCCTATTAGAACATTGCTAAGATTTATGTCAGAGAATATTTTGTCTATGTTTTCTTCTAAGAGGTTTAAAGAGTTTTGTCTTATGTTTAAGTCTTAAAGCTATTTTTAGTTTATTTTTGTGTATGTTGTGCAGCAGTGTTCTAACTTCACTGATTTACATGTGGTTGTCCAAAATAGTTTATTCTTTGAAAGACCAATAAAATTGATAAACCTCTGTCTAGACTGATCAAGAAAAATTAAAAGACCATTAACCTTATAGACATTAAAAGAATAATAAGAAAATCCTACAATCCCCATAAAATCTACAACTCAAATGATTTGGACCAATTCTTGAAAGAGATAAACAGCCAAACTCAGTCAAGAAAAAGCAGCTAACTTATTTTTCCTATATTCACTAAAGGAATTCAATTTTACTTATAAACCTTCCCAAAATGGAAAATTCCAGGCCTGGATGATTTCATTGGTCAATTTACCAAACATTTAAGAAAGAAAGAACACAAATTTACACAAGCTCTTCAATAAAATACAAGTAGAGGGAACACTTCCCAACTCATTTTAGGAAGCCATTATTATACTGATACTTAAACTAGAGACAGAGCAAAAAAACTATAGACCAATATGCCCCACAAATAGAGATGCAAAAATCCTCAATAAAATATTAGCAAATGAAATCTAGCAATATATAAATGGCATAATACATCACAACCATGTGGAGTCTGTTTCAGGAATGTAAGGCTGGTCCAACACTAGAAAATACAATTAGAAAAATGTATTTCACCATTTCAACAGATTAAAGCAGCAAAAGTTCACAGATGCAAAAGAGAAAAGCACTCGATAAAGTTCAAATTCCATTCATTATTTAAAAATTTTAAAAACTCTCGGCAAACTAGGAACAGAAGACACAACCTAAAGCTAACATCATACCTCATGGTAAAGGTCTGAATTCTTTCTAAGACTGGGAACAAGAAAAGAATGTCTGCTCTCACACTTTCATGCAACACTATGCTAGAAGTCTTGGCCAATTCAACTGGGCAAGGGAAAAAAAAAGTCATACTTACTGGAAAGGAAGAAATAAAACTGTCTCTATTCACAGATTATAAAGCTGTCTATGTAGAAGCTTAAGAAAACTAAAAAAAAAAGTGACTTTAGCAAATTCACAGGATACAAGGCGAATATACAGAATAAAACACATTTCTAAATACTACCAATGAATATTTGGGAATCAAAAACTTAAAAAACAGTCACAAGCATAAGGGATATATCCGGCCTATAAAGAATGCTCAATAAATATTTGTTGAATAAGTGTTAAATTTGGCTTTCAAATGTATTCTATTTTTGTTTTTCAATAAATTTAATTTTAAAATATGTTCTCCTAGGTATTATTATCATTGTCTGATACCCTGTGAAGTATAATAACTACTGTAACAATTACTCTTGGACAGCAGCAGCTGAGAATAAGTTTGACAGCTAGAAGTGGCTTAAAATATTTTAGTGAATAATCTACCTTAAGAAAGATGGGATTCTCTTTAGCTGTGGTATTTAAATGGGCATTGTATTCTTCTTGGAAGGTAAGCTCCTAGGAGAATGTTAATCTTTTGTAACTTCTATGTAATATGCTCTGTACACTTGGGTCAATTAACATGTATCAGAAAAATTCAAAAATTACATTCTATTTGCAAAATCTTAGTCAGCTTGATTACACTGAATTTATTCACCTTTCAACACAAATTGGAAGGAAGAATTCTCAAGATTAACATTGCTGATAATGACAGGAGATCAAGTCCTCAAATACTAACATTGAACATTCATCCCTCAAACCTCAATTTAGGATGAGAAACCACAGTATTTCTCTTCAGATAGGAACACATCTTTGAAGAAGTAAACACATACTTACTGGTTATTTGTGAGTAATTCTACTTTTTGCATTATTATATCCATAAAGCTCTAGTTCTAATGGATATAGCACATATTCCACTTTAGGTGGAACAGAGAAAGTTTGCCAGGATTAAGGTCTTTCTTTGAGGCACTAACAGGGAAACATCGTTCACCTTAAAGTGTCAGTAACAAAATTACTTGTATCCAACGTTCAAGTAGACAAGTGGGCTGTAAATCCATAAATGAAAATATACATAAATAAGAGCTTTAGAAAATGCTAAATATACAACCAGCTCATGTCCAAACAGAGAGAGAACTCCTACTTTATGTATAAAAACTATAGTTAAAACAAGATTTATTTTAATATCAGCACAAATACTTATTTGACCTGTGGTCTATAATCAAAAGATGGGTTGTACCACATGCCCAGATCAGAATAAAACTTAGTATGTCATTATTCTTGCACTGATTGGAAAATTTCAACTAGAAATAAGGAACACAGTCAATGATTCACTTTGAAATCATCAATAGAAAAGACTTAATTATTTTGAAATCTATTTTTTTCATTCCTTTATCATATATTAAATATTTTATATGGGTGCTTTTGTTTGCATAATTTTAGAATGGCTTTAAAACAACACTGTCATTGTCCCATAGAATAAAACTACTGTTACAGTGATTAATTGCTTGGAAATATTTGAGCATTGGGTAGGTAAATTAATGCAGTCAATAAGCTTGGGCTGTTTTTCATCAGAAAGTCTTACCAATTTAATTCCAAGTTCTCTCATTTATTTGCTAAGTGACTTGCACTAAATTATTTTTACCCCTTTGAGCCTCATTTTTGGTTGTTTTTTCTAATCTTAAAATGAGAATACAAAATCTTAGGTTGCTGAGAAAATTAAGAGATAGTATGTAAAATTCTGGGTGCACAGTCCCTCATTAGATGGCTGTTTTTACTATTATCTAGTTTGTCTTTAAATAACTAAATAAGTCCACATATCTTAGATGGTTCACATACTTTAGATGGTTTTTACTCTTGGATCTCTTCTATCTGGTAAGCCTCATTACGTTTTATAGAGGAGGATCAATGGATGCAGATATTCCTTTTTAACCAATTTTTGGAAGACCAGTGTGGGTTGTCTATAGCAGAGACAGCTGGTTGTCTACTCAAGTGGCTTTCAAACTGTTTGGTTTGTACTAAGAAATTCATTTTACATCATGACCGAATATACACATATAACTCAAACATAAATTTCACAAAGCATGTTAGCACCTACTAAGTATGATGAGCTTTATGATTCCTATTTCATTGTATTCCATTTTATTTACTTTTTAAAGATATCAATTATGTGTCATTAAATTGATTCCACAATTTTTTAACAGGTTGCGACCTGAAATCTGAAAATTATTAGTCTACCCATTACCCATCCTCTTCCTCTTTGTCTCTTTGTTTAAAACTTCATTCAGAAGTGACTTCATTCAGATAATGTCCCCCTTCAAGGAAGTCAATCCAGTTTAAAGGCAAATACTGATTGCACTGCCCTTGCCAGTGACTAGTTTGAGGTGTGCATGTAATATAGTTTTATCAGGTAAGTAGAGATTATCTCTCTGGTTTCTTTTCTTATAAGAGCCTGAGTCCCATTCATGAAGATTCCACTCTCATGACCTAATCACCTACCAAAGGCCCCACTTCCTAACATCATTGCATTGGGGATTAAGATTTCAACATATGAATTTTGTGGGGTGGGGTAGCACAAACATTCAATCCATTGCACCTGGAAAAAAAAGATCTTCATATAGGCAGGTGAGAAAAGGAGCAATTCTTTATCCAAATTCACTGCCCCTAAAAGATTCTGATTAGTTATCATTTATTTATGGTCAGGTGTCCACCAACCTGTAATTTAAATCTTTTATACACAATAGCATATAAACTATGCCATGCTTTTTAGGAAACAAAAATTTGAAATACCAAATATTTCTTGTTATTTCTAATACACATATATAAAATGGTGATTTTCAGCAATTTCAAATCTGCTTCAATAACCAATGTGCTACTTATTATTTTTAAAGTGCACATTAAATGTAAAGACCTAGTATCAGCAACCTTGGATTAAAAAGCAACAATTCACAACCCTTCATTTTTCTTGCTTACAATAAAGGTTGTCGAGTATGGTTACTTTCACATATAACAGAACCACTGACTAGGCAATGAAAAAAGTTATTTACCTACCTGGTTGCTTAATATAGAGGTAATGTGGTATCCAGTTTAACTATTTTCTATAGCTACTTCAAGTGATGTTGTGGGCTTGCTGTTGTGGCTGCCTTCAGCTGGTGGCTAAGCTGGGCAAGAAAGTTCAAGAAGGTCTCTCACTTGTCTGGGGCTTTGGAGTTACTGACTCAGGGTACTTTTGTTACTCCTTATGTCGCCTTTCTTTCCATGTAGTGCCTCCAAGGATCTGCTACATCTCTAGAAGGATAGCTTGGCCTTCTCAAGATATCATGTTCCAGCTTTACATATCTCTGTACATCTGAGAAGTGAAATTAATTTACTTTTGGAATGGCTTCTTAATTCCCATTGTGAAAATAAATTGAGGTGTCCAGACTTAAATTTGGAAAACATTTTTAACTTTACAAAACTATTTTCCAAAAGTAACAAAGACTTCTGTTTTTTAAACACAAAAGACATGTTCTCAGGGAAATGTGTCTTGAAAGGAGAAAAAGAATTTTTTTCCCGTAAGATTATAAAACATTAGGCCACTTGATTCAATGTATTTTCCTTCCTTCTTTCCTTCCGTGTGTCCTTCCTTCCTCTGGACAAAGTGCTTTAAAATCAGAGTTTACCATGTGTTAAATTATTCAGAAACATTCTTTAGAGTTTCCTAAAAGTGTTTGTGAAATGTTTGCTTGAGAAATTGGAGGGAAAAAAGGTTACAATAGCAAACATTTAGCAATATATCAGTGTGAAAAAATCCTCCACAATAAGCATAAAAGGATTAGGTAATCTTCGAGAATGGAAGAAATCTATCTGTAGCTTTGCCAAGGATTTGTTAAAGGAAACACTGCCCTTGATAATAAGATTGTAAACATTAAGTTATTGGTGTTCAAGAGTAAATAATATAAATATTCTTTTATATGTATATGAGTTGTTTCTTGAATTCCCAGCAAAGAACCAGTCAGAATCAACACTTTCAATTAGGACAATCAAACATAAAGTACTTCTTAAGCTAATAAATAACTAGTTTTCAGTTTAAAAATTTAACCAGAACTTCCATTCATGTTCTTTTCTGCTTCAGAAATTAACAGTTGTTAAGCTTCATAGATGCTTACTACGACTGTACTGTATTTCAATAATGTAAATATTTATAATACATTAAAAAACAAAATAGATACTACCTCTAAGTTTAACGTGTATTCAAGTTTTAAAGCTTACTATTAACTTTTCAAAACTTTTTATGATGAGTCTAGAGAAGAAAGTAAAATATGTGTACGTTATATCCTCCTATAAACTCACAGCACATCCAGAACAGTCTCTGAAGTATGCTCTATCATTTTTTATTCCCAACTTTACCAGCTGGAAAAATATTTTCAATGTCATAAATGATCTCAGGGCAAAGACAAAGGCCCAAAGTTCCAACAGTAAAACGTGGTCTCAGAGCTACAATAAATCACAGGCTGTAAGACCCTTTTAAGATTTTAGAAAGATGTCAAGCAATGCCTCGTAGGCCCTGAAGGCTAGAGAATAAATACCCTGGGCATTTTCTACAGCACCCAGATTCTCAGTCCAAGGTAGAAGGGGCCTGCCTAAAGGGGATTTATAGAAGTGGCTTTTGTCTAATGAGGTGGGCTAATTTGTTAAATAAAAGGCTCAGTTTTTAAGGCAATTGTAAGGATGAAGATACCATTAGCCAACTAAAAGAGACAAAAGCAATTCACAAAGAAAAGTCTCTCTAGCCTCCCCAATTCTCTACAGATCTCCTTAAGTCTCTTTTTCTTAAACCCTCCTGTACAAACAAAAAGATAGCTGTACCAATTATCTATTGCTACAATAAAAACCAAACAAACAAAAAACAAAAAACAAAACTTAATGTCTTAATGATTTTTAAATTCCTCATGTGTCTGTGGATTGACTGGTGGTTCTTCTGCTCCAGATGGTGTCAGCTAGAATCACTCATACAGCTGCATTCAGATGGTGGCTAAGCTGAGCTGGGAGGTTCAAGAAGACCTCTCTTGGGGGGAGGTTTGGCTCAGTGATAGTGTGCTTAGCATGCATGAGGTCCTAGGTTCAATCCCCATCACCTCCATTAAAAAAAAAATAAACCTAATCAGCTACCCCACTGGAAAAAAAAAAAGACCTTTCTCACTCGTGTAGGGTCTTGAAAATGCAACTGATTGGGACATTTTCTTCCTTCCCTATGTGGCTTTTCTCTCCATGTGGTGCCTTTAGGGCTTCTCCACATAGTCTATCCTTCTCTTCAGAATAGCCTGGAATTCTAATAAGACCTGGATTGAAGGGGAAGGAAAACAGACTCCACTCCTTGAAAGGAAGAGTGGTATACTTGCACAGGAGGGGAAGAATTATCTGGGGATCACCTTTGACGACCATCACAGTCCACCCTCTAGCCACAATTCTTGTCCTACTCACATGCAAAAGTATACTCACCTTGTACCCTAAAAGTCTCATTGCTTGATGACACTAGTTTAAGTTCAGAATCTTCCCATCAAAATCAGATTCAGATGTGGAGAAAATGCCTCGGGTATTGTTCCTCAGGTGCAGCTACTTGGGAGTGGCTTCTCCCAGCCTAGGTTGTCTAGGATAGAAAAACCACACAGACACTCTGAGTCAAAAAAGGGGTCAGGGAAACAGGAGACACAGTGCTAAAATTGTTGTGTGGGCCCCCACACTAAAGACAAGGGGCAGTCCTTGACTGCGGTTCAGTTCATCCCTCTGGTGGTGATTTCTTAATCCATCCCTCACCTGGCTTCTTGGCTCCTCTCTCTGGAATTCTGGCTTTGCCTGCCAGTCATTCTTTCTTTTCCCTAAGAAATGACATGCACTGGGTTGGAAATATTTCCTCTCATTTCTTCTTTTATATTGATCAATTCCTTCTTTAGCTCATTTCTCTTTTCTTATACATTATCATCAGTAGCTATAAAAATTTAATTGGTACTTTCATCATTCTGCCTGGAAACTTCCTTAAGACATCTATAAACTCATAAGGCTCATCTTCTGTCTTCTATCTTATGGCTGACAAAAGTATTGCCAAGTATTCTGTTACCATATAACTCAGGTCCTACATTTTCCAGCACTTAATATTGTCCTTACTGCCTTCCTACCCTCTAGTAAGACTTTGTTCACTATTCTCCAAATCCTGGCTAGTAGCCTCTTAATCACCTGCATTATTTTTCTCCTGCATGTGTACATGTTGCCAAACTTAGTAGGCTTAACCAACACAAATTTATTATTATTAGATAGTTCTGTAGGTTAGAAGTGCAACACTGAGCTCACAGGAATAAAGTCAAGATGTTGGCTGAAATGTACTCCTTTCTGGAGGCTCTGGGGGGAATCTGTTTCCTTGCCTCTTTCAGTTTCTAGAGACCACCCACATTCCTTGGCTTGTGGTTCCTCTCATCCATCTGCAAAGCCAGCAACAGTGGGCTGAGTCCTCATTTTGCATCACTCTGACATCTTATGTATCCCTCTTCCACTTTAAGGACCCTTGTGTTTATATCGGGCCCACCTGGATAATCAAGATCATCTCCACATATCAAGATCGTTAATCAAATCTGCAAAGCCTCTCTTACCATGAAGAATAACATATTCATAGGTTCTGGGGATTAGGATGTGGGTATCTCATGGTGCGGGAGCATCATTCTGTTCACCACACTGTCCTTTCAGCCTCCACTAATAGTCTTCTTGCCACTCTTCCAGTCTCCACCTGCTACCTAGTCTTCAAGCCAGTGTCACATGTTTTGGCATTCTGTTATGCTAACATACCACTCCAGATACCAATTTCTGTGTCTACTGTTGCATACAAACCACCCCCAAAATGTAGTGTTTTAAAATAGTAATCATTTACTACGGCAAACAATTCTCCGATTACTTGGTTGCTTTTGCTCCCCATGTGTGCTAGCGTCTCTTAGGCAGCTGCATTCAGCTGATCTCACTCAGTCAGCACATGCGGGGAGGGCATGATGCGAAGCAAAATGGCTCTCTGCTGTTGAGCTAGACTCTAAAAAAGTTGACAGCTGGAGGCTGCTGACCTCATTGCTTGCAGATGGGCAGCAATCCTTTCTTGAAGGTGAATCTGGGCAGCATATCTCCTTGCTTACCACAATCCACCCCTTGCTCTACATAGGTCTAGTTCTCTACATATGTTCAGAGAGCAGGTACTACAGGATCTTTTTCTGGAGCAACTTAGAAGACAGAGGTTAGCAGGACAAACTACAGCCCCAACTGCTGCAGGCAGGCTTGGCAGTACAATCAGCATTTGCCATCTCCCCCTCCACTATCAATTCTAGATTCCCCTCACCCTGCAGTACCACCTCTGCTGCTGCTGTTGGCTTAGGTGGTGCTGCGACTCAGACCCTCATTCCCTGAGAGGCCTGAGTCCCTACCATCACGCATTTTTCAGAGTGAGGTTGCTATACCTACTCATTACAGTCACAATTTGGTAAATATCACGTGGGCTCCAAACTTACTCCTTCCCACCTTTACAATGTAACAGGATCCCTACCTCCTTCTGATGATCAGAGTCAATTATTCCTGGCAAGATGACTCCTTTTCTTGCCTGCAGGTCTCTGTGTATAAGGAGACCAAAGTACCCAGGCAGCAGCTGCAGCTTATATTTCAATGCTGGTTTTGCTATATATCTTAGCAAGTGTCCCCTTGAGGGACCAAGACCACTCAACATGCAGAGTTCAGAGTTGTGAAGATAGGAAGCACAAGTAGTTCCCTAAGGGTCATTAGAAGTGACTGTAAGTGGTGGGGGACACCTCTTCCACTTCTTGTTTCTCGACTCATATTTTAAAATACTGGGGCACAGTGCCATATAAAGGTCTTTGAACCAGTGCATATAATACATCTTGGAGTATGGAACCTCATCCTTTCAGAGTATTGCCTCTGAACAGGTGTCCAGCTATACTTTCAGCAGGTTGCTCCGAGACTCCATCAGGCTGGCAGTTTCTGGTTGGTGAGATATGTGACATTATCAGTGGACTCTGTGAATAAGGGTCCACTCCTGCACCTCCTTTTCTGCAAAACAGGTTCCCTGGTTTGATGTGACATTACGTGAGATCTCCTGTTAGTGAATCTAATATTACATAAGCACTCAGATGGCGGTACTGACTGAAGCTCTTAGAGCAGGAAAAGGAATCCCATATCTGGAATATGTATCTATTACTGTGATGCAGAACTGCTGGTCCCTCCAGGATGGAAGGGGCTTGATGTAGCCAACCTGACACTTGGTCTCGAGGAATGGTGTCATATCGGGGGCTAAGTATTGCACTCTATTGCTAGTAGGTTGGGCGTTCAGCAGCAACAGGAACTAAATCAGCCTTGATCAGCTGAATCCATACTCAGTCTTCACCCCTTCCACAATGGACACTCCATTCACGTGCTCAAGTGCCAACACCAGTTGGCCAATGACTGAGGCAGGATGGATGATGTCAACAGGACAATTTATTCAGTCTTTTTTATTGTTTAGTGCCTCTTCAGCAGTGGGTGCTCTCTGGTGGGTGTTACGTGTGATACAAAGACCCTCACTGTTCATACTCACATTCAATGCCAATATGTCCATCCACAGGCTCCTATCCCAGACTTCCTCTGGTTGATCTTCCAATATTTCTCCTCCTAGCATAATTACCAGTTCAGCCACCCAGACTATTCCGTTCTGGATGAGCTTTGCATGTAATCAAAGAGGCCCACTTTCTGTAGAGCATCAATGGTACTTAGCCATCCACTTCTGTTATTCTTAAATCGACAAGTTCCTTCATCAGTCTCAAATACCTGTTACACTGCACCCACCAGTTCATTCTCTTCCACAGGTAAACCCTCTCGTTTTACCACTAGTGAGAGTTGCCACTTTGAGCCAGGCATTCCTTATGGCCCATGTGCCACATGAAATGGAGTCCTCATTGGCAGCTCAGACCACTCCTGGGACCGACTGTCACAGCTGGGTTCTCAGTAAGATCCTGAGATGCAATTTGGGCTGCAAGATGTTTATCAGAGAAC